CGACTCGGCGTTTTTTAAAACGCTGGGCTACACTAAGCAACACCTTCTCCTGAATCAGTTCAACATGAATCGCCTTGTTTTAAAAAATTCTCTTATTCCTAGCCTTCCATACCTCCCACACCAGAGCACCTTTGATCATTCTCTGCAACTTTCGACCCACTCCCCTAACTTTGCCTCTTAGGTCAATTAATTCATTTCATTCTTACTTCCTTTCTTACAAGTAGGGCTGCCAATGGCAGGGTCCAGCTCAAGATTTAAAATTTGAAATAATTTTTCTCTCTAAATTTTTTGAAATAGTTTCTCTCAAAAAAAATTTAAATACTTTTTCTCTCTAAAACTTAAAATTTGAGATATTTTCTTTCTCTATAAATTTGTGATAGTTTCTCTCTTTATAAATTTTGAGATAGTTTCTCTCTGTAAAAAAATTGAAGTAGTCTCTCTCTAAAATTTGATATAGTTTCTTTCTCAAAATTTTTAAGATACTCTCTCTCTCTAAAAGCTTCCATTTTAGTTTCTCTTTGTAAAAATTTTCGGATAGTTTCTCTATTTAAATATTTTCAAATAGTTTCTAAACTTAGATACATTTTATCGCTCTAAAACTTTAAGATACTTTAACTCTCTAAAACTTAAAATTTGAGATAGTTCTCTCTCTAATTAGTGAAAGTGTTTTGGCTAAATTAATTGTATTGCATTATTGCATAAAGTAGGCTTTTATGTGACAAGGAAATTTGACTCAAAATTGGTTATTTAAGGTAAAGGCAAGGATACAAAATTTCTTTATTTTTTACTTGCAATGAAGAAAATAATTTCTGGCAAAATACTTTACAATCCCAAAGTTTCGATCTAAATGCCAAAAATGTGCCATTTCCACATAAAAACATGTCTAGAAATGTATTTTTAGGCATCCAAACACCCCTTATTATTAATTAATATTATCTATATCAAATAAATACATATTAATTAATATTATATCAAAATACTATTTAATATCAAATTCATAATTATTTTATAAAATATGCAATTGTGAAGATAAATACCATATAAATTAATAATTATCTATATCAAATAAATGCATATTAATTAATATTCTATCAAAATACTATTTAATATCAAATTTATAATTATTTTATAAAATAGATAAATTATCACAAATATACTTTAATTTTTTTCTATTTTATTTTTCATTTATTTTATATAAACTATTTTGATACCAAATTTTTGACATCCAATCCTCTATTAAACTTGCACTAGCAAACAATATAAAAAAAATATTTCCAATAAAATAAAATGATTAAAATACTTTTGAAAGATTCAAAAGGTAATTTGGTTAGTATATTTTATCTAAAAATTATTTTTAATATTTTTTATAGGTGAATCTCAATGAGAAGATGACACGTATCAAATTTCAAGTTCATAAAAATTATATAAAAAAAACTAAAAATAAAATACTTTAAAATATCATATCCAAGATCAAACGGTGAGTGACTCTCTTGATCAAAATATGAGTGACTCTCTTGATCAAAATTGACAGATTGGATGGTAGAAAAAATATAGATCATCTATATTATTGGGAAAATATAGATCTTGATCCATGCTCAAGGGAAAGTATAGAAATCTTTTCCAAAAGAGATTGTGACAAAAGTAAATGGTCCTTTAAACTCTCCTTTTTTTTTTTAAATGATAAATATATTTTTGGTACTGATTAGGTGTACGACGTAAAGTTCACTAACACGTGTCCATCTGAATCTTCATTTAAGAAAACCTCTCACACAAGAAATTTAAGGCCGGCCCAGAAAATCCACCCCTTCCTTTCAGACTCAATCTCGTCTCTGCGTTGACGGTGGTAATCCGGACCACCGAATCTTTTCCTGAATCGAATTAGGAGGTAACTGCACTCGGATGTCTATGAGTTTGACATTAAGATATCAAAAGATTCATTCCGTGCACCCACGGGAGCGTAACTGAAGAGAAATCCAGTAAGCATCAACCAAATCTCTCTTACCCGAGGTAGCTATCCATTGATTTTCTCCCTCTCTCTTCCCTTATAAACGAGTAACAGTAACCAAAATCCTTTTTTGTTTTATTTTGTTTGAGATAGTATCGAATATTTGGAGAGCAAAGACCTGCTTTGTTTTGGAGATCACGCAACGTCTTCAAAGTTGATAGATTTTGCTGAAACTCGGTTGTGATGCTTTTCCCTCACCATTATTTGCAACATTGGCAAGCTTTGGTTGAAGTTTGGGTAAGTACCATGTTTTCTCAACCTGTCTCTTGGTGATTGGAGCAATTACTGGCATGAAAATATGTCAATTCTAGAGAGAGAATAGTGACTACTGGGCTTACCTAAGTCAAATTGAAAAACCGAAATCACCACTGAACTGTTTGATGCAAAATTCTTGGTTGATTTGCTCAAGGAAATAACCTTGAAGAAAGCATGACCACTGGGTTTTCTCGATATTTCTAAATGTTTTCTTTTGTTTGCAATGGCGGTCGGTTTATTCGTAACTGTCCAAAAATTTCAAGGTCTATATTTGGCGGTATCATTAGAAATAGTGAAGAGTTGGGAGGTAAAGAACCATCAGAACAGAATGTAGAAAACCATTCTTCAAATCGCATGTTTATCGACAGTGATGTTGCAGAGAAAAGCTCACAAAAACCAGAACTAGAACAAGATGTTGGGGAGTCTCTTGTGTTGAATGAGCTTCTCTCTTGTGGAACAGATGCTCATGAGGATGACCCATCGGCAAGTTTCACTTATGGGGATAATCCACCTGAAAATTTCACTCAAAATTGCAACCGCTCTCCTTTGGGGCATTTATTTTATGATAGCATTGTTATGGAAGCCAATAAAATATTTGAAGTACTGCGAAAAGATGGACCAGGGTTCGATTTGCGATGTGAATTGGATGCTATGGAACCCATTATCACTAACCGGATTGTTCGAGAAGTCTTGCTTAAGATAAAAAGGGGTATAACCGATGACAATAGGGAGAGAAGTGCTAAATTGGGCTACAAATTCTTTGTATGGTTAGGTCAACAAAAAGATTACCGACACACCTCGAACACATACAATCTAATGTTGGAAATCTTCTCAGATACTGGGGAGTTTAAACCAATGTGGAGGTTGGTTGATGAAATGATCCGAAATGGCATTCCTGCCACTGCTAGAACTTTCAACATTCTTATATGCACTTGTGGGGACGTGGGCTTGGCCAGGAGAGTAGTGGAGAGATTTCTGAAGACCAAGGCCTTCAATTACCGTCCTTTTAAGCATTCTTATAATGCTATTCTCCACTCTCTATTGGGTTCAAATTTGTATAAATTGATTGAATGGGTCTACAACCAAATGCTTCGGGATGGACATTCCCCCGATACACTATCATATAACATCCTTATTTTTGCAAAGTACAAAATGGGTGAGCTACATAAGTTGCACCGATTTTTAGTAGAAATGAGTGAGAGTGGCTTTGCCCCAGACTTTCATACGTATAACATTATGCTTAATGTATTAGGTAGAGGAAACAAGCCTGCAGCCGCTTCAAAGCTATTGAATTATATGGATGAAGTGGGTTGCCACCCTCGTGTTATTCACTTCACAGCTTTGATTGATGGGTTCAGTCGTGCAGGGAAGCTTGAAGAATGCTTATATTATTTTGAAGAAATGCTTAGCAGGGGGTGTATGCCTGATGTGGTTTGTTACACTGTGATGATCACTGGGTTTATAGCGTGGGGTGAACTGGACAGGGCTCAAGAATTCTTTCATGATATGATTAATAATGGGAACCTCCCAAATGTCTTCACGTATAATTCCATGATTCGAGGTTTCTGTATGGCTGGGAAATTTGAGGATGCATGCTATATGCTCAAGGATATGGAATCAAGGGGTTGTAACCCTAATTTCCAGGTGTATAGTACGCTAGTGGAAAACCTTCGGAGTGCTGGGAAAGTCTCTTTGGCAAATGAGATTATAAGCCAGATGGTGGAAAAGGGTAGGTACATTCAATTGATCTCAAAATTTAGGCGATATAGAAGATTGTGAAGAGGCAATAGTGTGGCAAAAACTTGTTGGACAGAACCTTTTCTGAGAGCTTGATGATCACAACCATGTTGATACTCTGTTTTCCAATATTGGTTCTGTATTATTTCATAAGTTATTGAAAATTTTCTGATGTCATTTCTTTCTATTCAGTTATTGTGATTTTTCTTTTTTTGGTGAAATGGTTTCAATTGTAAAATATCCATTGAGGTCTGATTTATTTACGATTTTGGCATTGACTATGTTGTGAAGGTATGCAGATCACAATGACTTTCATGAATGGTTCATGTAAAATGTAAGAGGTCAATGGTTCAATGAATTTTGACACTGACACAGCTTTTGTCGATTATAAGAAAACAGAACATTGTTTTAACATAGTTCATTGACTCAGGCATGTCCGGTTGACTCACATGATTCTGGCAAGCTCAGCAAGAAACCAGTTCATAACCATGATGACTGGCTTCTTTAAGATTCACCTGTATGAATTTCCTGATAGACTCTTGCGAGTGATGGTTGAGTGATGGAAAAGTCATCCAAGCCGTTATTTACCATCTAAGTTTTTATTATTAAATGCTATAAGTTCTCATATAAAAGAGGAAAGCTTTAACAGAGAGGTTCACCTGTATGAATTTCCTAATAGACTCTTGCAAGTGATGGTTGAGTGATGGAAAATTCATCCAAGCCGTTATTTACCACCTAAGTTTTTGTTATTAAATGCTATAAGTTTTCATATAAAAGACGAAAGCCTCGACAGAAACAGTCAACAATAAGTGAGAAGCTATCTTAAATAATCTCTCCTCCTCCAACCCCAGTGCACCACCCCCAACCTCCCCCCCCCCCCCGCCCCCTTCCCCCACACCAAAAAGAGAAAAAACCACAGCGGCTATCCTAATTTGACAGTACATGTTTATATTGTCTCTCACATGCTCACGCACATGTTGTCATGTAGATATCCTTTTTAGACTTGAGTCTAGTTTTATTTTCTGGAATTTTATAATTTATATCGAAATTTTTATGCTTCAAAATTTTAATATAAATAAATGATAACTGTAAAAATGCCCTTGCTGAGTTTCCTATGACCCACCTGAGTCCTGGGTTGATTTGATTTGGCATCTTAATTTTTGCTTCTCGGGTGTTGTTTTAGCCCGACCTTTTTGTACAGGTCCACTTCTTAGTGACCATTTTTTGGTTGAGAGACCCGGTCCCCATACTTTTGTACCCCCTTGATAATAATATTAACCGTGAACGTTCTCAAAAAAAAAATAGTCCCAAGTTAGTGACCGTTGTGTTTTTATCCAAGTTGACTCCTTAGGCTTCATTAAGGAGAGATGCATTTAATTTATTCCAACCCAGTTTGAGTGACATTGTGTCGTTGGTGAACGGGTTATGGTTTACCATAACCCTTTCACATTGGGTGAACATGCAAAATGCCGCTAAGTGCATTCTATATGGAAAAGGGTCCTCCTTCTTTCCACTTCTATTATAGGCATACAATAGGGTGCTGCACCTAGTGCATTGCCAATGTTAAGGGCCAGTGCTCCCGAATACCCAAACACAGCCTAAGTTCTTGAACACTGTTGAGCACCGCTTTTTGATCATGGGTTTGTGATACAGGAACAAGCAGCGTAGGTTTTTCGCTACGCCAGTGCATAAATAAGCAGTGTACATTCTTTGTTGCCAATCCATTCCAATGGTTATCAATTGAAAATTCTAATAAACCAAATTTTTCTCTTATCTTTTTGTTTTCTCTTCCATGATTTTGTATTATATAAAATTGTATCGAGAAAAGGAAGATATGAATTTATGAAACGGCTCTGGAAATATTTGGACAAAATCAAAGAATTCAATGGTCTCTTGGACCCAATTCATGAATAAAATCTAAATATAGTACAAGTTTTTTCTTGTTTAAAAATCCTCCATAATATGTTTTGAATGAAGCCTTAAACTTGATTGGATTTTTCAGATCCCATTACAATATATTAAAATCTTTTATGGGGAAGTTACACTCTCTTCTCTTAAGCATCACTTATTTCTTTTCGAATGACTTAATTAGGAGAAGAAAACTCGAGTTAGCAGAGTTTTTTGGTATTTCATTGTAAAGCATTTTTTGGCTTGTGTTATTCTTTATAATCATACAGATGCAAATCACAGGCACAAAAATGTGTGGTAATTATGGCCTCTCCATCAATTGGTTGATCCTGTTGAGGCACCTCTTCAGGTACTGATTCTTAGCTTGCATATTCCAAAAGTTTCATAATTGAAGACTAAACCAATTGAGTTTATTTATTTTATATAGTTGGCCAAGGGAGGGATTCTTATATTCTAAATATGAACAGTAAGTTATTTTGGTAGGTGTTTTGAGCAAGATTTGGCATGCTGTACCGTATAAGCCAAATTCTCTTTAGGGGTCAGTATTTCCTTTTGAAAATGGTGATTCCAAGTTGATTCTCGTAACCTACTCAAAATGCATTTTAGGCTGTGTAGCCTTTAAAGGCCATGAGGGCAAGTGATTAACATTTGTAGTGCATCATACACTTATGTGGGAGAGTGTAATGTTTTGACTGACCAAGGGTTAGGCGGTCTATGGCCCTGGTCATCTCCTTACACCTAGGCATGTGGTATTACTGAAAAGGGTTTACAGAGGGTCATCCCTTGTTGAGGTTGGAGAAATTCCTAGCTATGGTTAGTAGGCCAGGAGATTTGTGTGGTCTCTTGTATGGAGATGTAGGCCTGTGAGAACGACGACCAAATCCTCAACAACTTTTACACAACATGTACATATGACAACCACACTACTGGGAACAACCCTTGTCAAGGACATGTGTACATGTGCATAAAGAGAGTCCCCCTTGCACTATAGTGACATGTGCTTGACTTACTCTTAAGGGAAGAAATGTAATCCACATTGGGCCTTGCTTCAAATGATTCAGTAATCATGGAATTAGAAGAAAAGGCTCTAATTTTAAACATGATTAAAAGATCAAAGTGATAATTTGGGTGATAAACCATATATTTGGAGATGATTTTAAAGTCTTCCCAACATTTAAATGCTTCATCGTCATCATAACCTTTTCCCAACATTTAAATGCTTAACCGCGGTCAAATCAGTGGGAGAGATATTCATGTGATTTGATTACCGCATATTCAAAACAAAAGGCTTTGAGATGAATTCAAATGTGACCCAAAAGGTCGAAAATCCTTTTAGGTTCAAATTCTACCAAAAAAAAGGAATTTGGATTGAAACTGTGGTCTCTGTGGTGACAAATCTTAACCGTGGGGAAAAAAATTAGACTGTTAACTTGAAATCCTGGGCCAGTTTTCAATAAAATTGAGTCCAAATATATCAAAACACATATGCATTCATATAAATGCATTAAAATGGTGAAAATCATACAAAATTTGAGCAAAACGCTCATAATTTCTTCATCAAAATTGGGTGGGGGCTCTTTGTGCAACCAATAGACATATGGGTCAATCCCTTCAAAACACCTGTCATACAGTATCAAAATATGGTTTTGAAACTCAATGGCATAATTATCAATCATGTTAACACATTCCTATTTAACACAATTAGCATTAATGAGTGTCATTCTTGATTCCATGAACATTTGCTTGTAATAGTCATGGTGTTATAATGCATATATGCATCCATACATGGTTGGATTCATGTTTGTGTCTAACTAGTATTTCGTTTTATTTTGTTTTTGCTTGTTTTTAACTTATATTTTGGCCATTGATGGTGGACTCTACCCTGTGCATTAGAAGTTTGGATTGAATGGATTCCTTTCAATACCATTTGTTAAAATATATATTTTTCATAGCTGCAGTTGTTTAGCAGTGTCAATATGTTTATATTCTTGAAATAAGTGTGCTAACATGGGCATGTCCCCATAACTGACGGATAACATATATCCTTCCCTTTTACTATGGGAAGAAACCATATAGACATTGGCATCTCGTGCTCTCTGTTTGTGCACCGAGAAACTTATATATTGTTTTTATCTTTGGATAAGTTCACCAATAGGTAGCATACAGAGATTCAATTGGCTAGTTTTCTGGGTATGTATTATTAGAGTAATATTTGATTGTTGAAGTTTTAGGGGAATCGGTTTTGTTGGGGACCAAAAATTTAAGTGTACGTCAGTGGATTAAATTTAAATGGTGATGGAACTGATCACAGAAAACTGTCCTAGAGCCTCCATTGCACTGTACACATGCAATTCATATAGTGTTAAGTATATTTCAATATTTCCAATATAAGATTGTTTTGTTAAGGTAATATCATATGAGACCCCATCCTAAATGGAACATATAGGACCCCATTCTCAACCTTTGTTGATCTACCGAGATGGTGAAGATGATTCATGATTCTCCTTGATGGACAATTGTTAACATGTAACTAAGTTATGGTCATCTCCACTGTCTGGATATGCCACGGATGGTCAATATTGGGGTCCTACATGTTTTCTGTTGAATGAGGAACTATCATCTCCCTTGTTGTGATTGATGATTTTCTTTCTCCTACATTGGTTATCTGGGAAATGAACTGCAGATTCTGTGCTGGAGCCCCATAAACCCTAGCCTAACTGCCAAGCAAAGAGCCTGCATCCAGCTGATTTTAATCTCTTTAAGATAGTAGTTTAAATCTAAAAGTTTTGCACGAAATTTCTACCATCTTCCAACCATTGAAGTAAAATTTCCATATCTCAAGAGAACCCTACAATAGACCAATTAAACTTTTGAAAAATAAGAAATTGAGGTTTTATCTAGGTTACTGCCTATTATGTGCTGTACATGTGGCCCACTCTTTGTAATCTTAGTCATGGATCATTTTGACAATCTAAGGGGGCCATTGCATGAACATAATGATTGCTTGCTAAGTGTTTTCCTTTAAAATTATCAAAGAACTGGATTGTCTAATTACAAAGATCGAATTTTAGGAACATAAAATATGTTAATACCAGCCTTAGATGGTTATTTACTGCATCCCTGATATTTATGGCTTCCGAAATTATAATGTTTAAATCTGGGATTTAGTTATTGGAAGGTAAGGTGATGGAAGTTCAATTGATAAATGCTTTGCAAATCCTCGTTCCTGGAAATATTGCATATGATATACATAGTCACTTGGTATGATTGGTACTTCGCAGTCTTACTGCGCATAGCCTAATAAACTTTTTAGACCTGCATTTGAGAGAATTGTGAAAGTGCATACAAAGACTAGAGCAAATTTTAAAGCCGAAAAACAGGGCAAAATGGACACATTCAACAAGCCACTTGCTAAAAACCAAGCTAAGTGAATAAGTTCCAATCCTTTTACATAACAATTACAACTATTTCTAGCCTTATATAACCACTGTAAATAAACTTAAATATTAACCCCTTATGGGGCAATTACATATAAAGCAAGACTAGCTTATGAATTACACTTTCATAGTACAAATTATATAAACTATGTCCCAAAGCTTAATACATCATGCAACTAATCTAAACAAAATTCTAAAGAATAAAATCAACTAAACAGGGAATTAGAATGCCAAATTAAAATAGGGAAGCCATGTTTCGAACCCTTGTGTCGGGGCCACACAATCGGGCCCTATAAAGACTTAATTTTGTCCCTTCGGATTGTACAAAAGTGGTTCAATCTCACAAGAATGTCTAATCAAAATGGGAAGAAGTTACGCACCTTAAAATCACTTCTTAAGATCTCAACACACTGGCATTATCATCCAAAACAGAATGAAAAAGGTTTGAATCGAATTAGATAAAGAACAAGAAAGTTATTGCCAAACTACACATGGTGGTCCCCGGACCACCAAAACAGTCTTGTATGGAAAGATTATGAACCCCGATAGGTAAAAGCATAATGAAAAAGTTCTGAAAATGGAGTGACACTCTGAGACTGAATTATTTGATTTGTTTGAAGCAAAGTAATTAATAGATACTATGCATGATCATGGATTCTCTTGCGTATAGGCTATAACTCATGAAGGACCACGCTATGAATAAGCATGATGAAAAGATGATCAAATGGGGATTCTAAGATCAATGAAACTTTTCTAAATTCAAAACTCCAGCAACTATAGATGCCAAGGATATGATCTTATGAGAAAAAAAAAATTCAATGGAGTTTACCTTGATAAATGCATATTATGGACTTAAGCATAAGAAAAGAGGACCACTATCAAGATCACCATTAATGGAACTCTAAAAGTTCTCTCACTTCAATTTTCTCTCACAAAACCTTAGAAGAAGGAGGGGAGCAACAATTTTCCAAAATGGTTCAAGAGTTGAGATAGTTAGGGTTAAAGATCTCATGATGTACTTTTATAACATCATTGTAATTTTGAATTCAATCAACACCCATGATGCACTAATCCAAAGGCACATGAGAGGCTAATATACTTAGCCACCCATCCCCATCCAACCACTAGGATGAAGGGATGGGATTTCGCATCATTATTATTCACCCTAACCTTAAGTTATGCCACTTTACCATTTTGTCTTTGGCCCATGTTTTTGTTCCAATTGTATCCAATATGGCTTTACAAAAATACCCTTAGTTTTTTAGTAATGTATTAGAGTAGATAACCACAAAGGCTAAAGGGCAAATAAGTAATTGGCAAAGCTCACACATGTGTAGATTTTCTACTTTATCAAAGCCAATCACTTTGTAGATCTAAAATTTCAAACTAATCAATTTAAAGATAATGTCCCCTTCAAACATGTGTGAAGATATTTTTCAACTCAAATTTGAAAATGTATTTTCTCTTTAATGTCAAATAAATAAATTAATTAAACTTCACACACGCCATGCATGACTCACGTGTGAGTTAATTAAGATATGTGACAAAAATGGGGCCTTAATTTATAACATTATATAACAAAATATAACAATATATAACAAGACACCATAACACAACCCCTTATAAAACAAGCTACCAAATGCCAATCTAGTCCCCCGCCAAGGGATGAGTGCCCAGCTGGGGCGGTGATCTTAGAGTGAGGTATGGGGTGCCATGTGGCATCCCTATGGCCACTCAGATGCCACATGGCACCACCAGGTCAAGACTAAAGTGGAATTTGAGTCAAACAATATGAAAACCCTCATTTTTTCTATCAAATAAAATTTTGAAAAATTCTCTAAAATTCACAATAAATATTTGAAGTATTTTTGAGTAATTATTAGGTTTTTCTCATCATTATAAAATCGGACAAAAGGTATAGTGAGATCTCAGGCTAATAACTATAGGTATCGGAGTACTCCATTGGGTTAGTCTCGAATAATGTTCTGCCGAGTCTCAGATCGACCCAATAGTCCTATGTTCCACAGTCTAAAGCAGGGACACATAATTGGTCATATCAAAGTTGCTGAGCCAGAACTTCCGATCATTCGGCTCTCAATGGATTACAGGTGTACCCCTGTGGGACATGATCCAACTCAACTACAGGGGTCCTCTCAAAGCACATGTGCACTGGCTCTTCCAAACTCGGATAATGCATTTGGAAGAGTGGCTTCCCGTATGAAATGAAAATGCATATGCCATGCAATGGTCTCGTGTCAGGATACGGACTTATGTTCCATAAGTCTTTACCATTCCATACAGGGCAAATACTCAATAAGTACTCGGGTTCTATTTTTCTCATTTGGATTCTCCAAGCCCTGGCCGATTGCAGCTAAACATGAGGCTAACCTATAAAATCCTGACTAGGAGGTGACCCTCACACCTCCTTGAGAAATTGCTTTCCCAACACGTGAACTCTCGATGCCTTATGCGTACTTGGGGTAAAAGAATCTGGGCTCCATTTCGCAAGACTCAATCTCTCAATTGCTCCCACTGAATGAGAGACTACTAGAATTTAGGCCTTGATAGGCCATATTTCCAACATGTTGAATTGTACGAGGCAAAGGCAATGGCAGGCTAGTTTTTCAATAAAGTAAAATGCTTGTAATCTTGTCTGTTTGGCTTTTTAGCACTCCATGAGTAACTGTTCCAAGTTCTCTGCATTTCTCTCTAGGATATCGTAATGTCCAAAGCTGAGCATGGATCTAAAGTGCATTCAGGTATTTTTGTGGCTAGAGGGTCTTTATCCTGCCTGCAAAAGCTCAGTTAGGTTCTGAAATAAAACCTAAGTCTCTTAAGATGCCATAACTGCCCCTGAGATATGCAGTTTCACTTAAATTGTTCTATACATTTATAGTTTCTAGAAGATCACTGATGAAATTTAGCCAAATCGAAACTGATATAACATTGTTCTGATTGAGTTCAAAATCAATCAATTTCTTGAGGTTTACAAATTCAATAGCCTTGTGGATGGTGAGGTCGACTAATTTTCCGAGTAGAACTTAAATGGAATTTGAACTGGATTGATGATTGTTCCATTTGAGATCAACCGGTGCTTGTCATTCCTTTATAAATGTTTATGTATTTCTTGGTTCTTTATATTATGGAAAACATATGTTGTGTTCATGGCTCATTAGGGAGCAACAAATTTGTCCTCCTAAAAGCTTCATTCTTAATTTCTATTAGATTTCCTAATCTGTCATGTGCCAGCATATCTGTAACCCTCGTAGTATCTTTATCTTAGTTTTGGACCTCTCTTCTCTAAAGCTTGCTCATGTGAATTATTCTGCCTTTCCTATCTGGCCATCTTATGAAATCTCCCTTACAAAGAGCAAAGTTTCTGCTCAAAATATTGGTAGTTGATCATGTTTACTTTCTGAGTGTTTACTTTCTGTTGGCAATTGCGTCCTCGAGATGGTTATTGCTTATGGTAATGTTTTTTTTCTCTATTTGTAATTGAAGAACATCCTTTCCTTTTTTTCTAGAAAGGATATGACTGTTGCTGCAACAAGAACACAGGAAGTGCCCTCTTTGATATCCATGTCCCCTGGCAGTCCAGATGGTCCACACCCTGTCTTCCAATCACCCTTCATGGAGAGGCAGGGAGGCCACCACATGTCTCTCACCTGTCCCGTTTACACCACATATACCGGTCACCGTCTTAAGCACGCTCGTGAGGGATCACATGGCTGCCTCCCCACCATCCATTCCTCCTTCCCCATGCGGCAAGGGTGTCCACTCCTCTCCTCATCCAACGGTCAACTATTCTCAACCTATGACAGCACATTCGACCGACTGGAAAGTGGCCCTTTGGTAACGTCAGCAACGTGTTCCTTCTCCAACTCCATTATGTGTACTGGCTCTCCCTCTTCGGCTTCCCCCTCCTCTGTTGCCTTAGTTCCCGACCAACCCTTGGCCAATACAGCAACAAGGCATCCCTTCTTCCCTCTGACTGTAATTTGGCTGCTATTGCAGAGCACGGGTGGGTTGCCTTTGGAGGCGTCACCTATCACAGTACCCCTCTCATCCCACAGGACTTGCAGCAATAGAAACTCACACTCCCATATCTGACCCACACTTTTTGTCTTGGGTCCTCATCTCGGCTACCATCCTGGACCTTCCACCGGTGCCCTCTTCGTCTTCTTTTGCGCTACCTCTACTTCCCCCACCATTCCCCGCTTCCCTGCACTGGCCCTCACTCCCTCACAACCCAAGGCCTTTCCCCCAACCTTTCATCCACCCTTCCTCTCGGCCCTCCTCACCCCCACCCCCCACTGTGGGGATCTTCCCCTCCCTCTCAATCCTCAGATTTGCGCCCTCAACAGAGACAACAACACTCTCTTCCCCCTGCCAGAGCCCCACAACCTAACAGGAATTTAGGCCACACCCCCATACTGTGGTTCGATTGCCCCGCATCCCTTCATAAATTCGTCCAAGGAGGTGACAGATCTGGTCTTACTCCTTGTTTCGCCCCATCAAATGCCTCCCCCACCCACCGGCCCTCCATCAAGCCCTGCTCCTCTCCCTCGTCGCCCTTACTCCGAACCCTATTTGTTTCCTACCCTACTCAACGTCTCCGGCAACCACTCTGGTCTCCTCTTCTCCCTCCTTTCCCCTGGTGGGATCCACCTCATCTCCTGGACTCAACTCTCCACCCCTGGTCAACACCTTTTTTGCCTGGTCCCTTGAATCCCCAATTTCATCCCGGATCTCGCTTGATAGCTTCCAATCGGAATCGGTGATCTCGGTTGACTGCACATTTGTCCATGACATGGACTATGCTCAAGGCAATGCTCTTGAAGTCATGAGGGTCATGGGTTTCAAATTCAACGGCCCCAGGGAGGTTTTGGAAGTCTCCATCTCTGCTGACATCAACTCCCCCTCCAAAGCTAAGACAAAGGGCTAAAGAGAACTGTCTAACCTCCTAGCTTTGGGGTAAACTATGACAAAAGACAGCTACCGGACCCCCCACTATCTTCACCTGCCCATCTGGGCTCTTTAGCCAGTGCTTTGACCAAACTCGCCTCTCCCAATGAGGATCTTGATGTGGAACATTCGTGGCCTGGGCCACCCACAAAAAAGAAACGTGGTTCGAGACATCTATGCTGAGTTCTCACCCTCCTTCCTTGCCCTGATCGAAACCAAAGTCCCCTCCCCCACTCTCTGCTATCTGGAGTATTTGGGTATTCAGGGCGTATATTTTAACTTAGGCCAATTTTCAACCATGGCAATTGTCTTTCGATCGTCTGACAAGCCACAATGGAAGTGTTTGGCGGTCTATGTTCCCAATCCCGACAGCCTCAGGCCCTCGTTCTGGGCTGAATTACAGACCATAGCCTTGAGGCCCGGCCTCCTAGTGTTGGGGCGGGGACTTTAATGTCACCCGTTGGTCCTCTGATTGCAACTCCAGCCAATCAATCTCACCGGCTATGGTTCAATTTTCAGATTTCATTTTCCACAACCAGCTTATCGACATCCCTCCCGAAGGAGCTCAGTTTACTTGCTCAAACCATTCCATAAACCGTTCCCGCTCTAAGGTGGACCACTAAAATTTCGGAAGAAGGCAACAGATGGGCAAAGGAAGAGATTATGTGCGTGGTGGTTGGCTGTGCATAGGTCTAGTACATTAAATTTTTTATTTAGAATGTCAATGCACTCATAAACATACCAAAAAAAAAGGAACTTTAAAAAATAAACAAAACTACATTTCCTTTCACAACTCATATTTGACACAGAATTAGTCTAGGCTTAAGTATGGCCTACCGTAGGAATCTTGAAAGTATGGACAAACTAACTATTCCTTTATATCTATATTTTTATTTTATTTTTTGACAACACAACGTCCACATAGGCTCCCTAACACACACTAAGAAATAAGCAAAACACCCTACCTTTATTTTTGCAGACTTTGTCAATTTAAATTTGCTAAGGCTCAAGTATGGCCCCAATGTGGTGGACGAGAGAGTTTGAGGCCCATAACCTTTTACCTACACCCACCTTCTTGCAAATTCACCAAGGACGTGTTTGATAACAGAAAGTTGCTTTTCAGAAGTTGGAACTTACCTGTTACTGTTTATCTTTTGTGTTTGATAGAAAAAGGTTAGATAAATAAGTAACTTCATTTTACTATTCCTCTTCTCACTTTATTCATAAAAAATGTTCCATGAAAAACCATGAAACTTAAAAAAGGAAGTTTTGCCCCTGTGAAAACCCGTGAAAAAAGCCTGCGCGCTGCACTCCTCAGCTAGTGCACAGGTCCTCTCTCGTGCCTCTCTCACTCTCTCCTGTGTTCTTTCTCATCCCCGACCTTCTCTATCTCTCTAGGCCCCTCATACCTCTGCACTCTCTCTCGCTAGAGCTCTCACACCCTTGCACTCTCTCTTTGTGCACTAGGGCTCCCACACCTCTACCCTCTCTCTTTGTGCACTAGGGCTCTCATACCTCTGTACTCCCTCTAGAGCTCTCACACCACTGCGCTCTCTCTCTCTGTGCACTAGGGCTCTCACACCTCTGCACTCTCTCTTCTAGAGCTCTCATGCACTTTCTCTCTCTCTCTTTGTGAAAATCCCTCTATCCCTAATTTGGGTTGTAGGCTTCATCAGCTCTCATATCATTATGTCCTCACTCTTGAAGCCCTTGAAGCTATTTTAGGTATGTTTTTTTGTTGTTTTTAATTTTTCTCATCAATCCAAAAGGGATTTGGATTGATGGGTTGTTGCAGAAGATTTTTTAGATCAAAATTTTCTTTTTGGGGATAAATTATCTGTAAATGATGGATTTTTGGGTTTTCGGTTTCTTTTTCACTTGTTTTGGTTTCTTATCAGTTTTGGTTTCTCAGTTCATCAAAGTGACTTGGATGACGAAGACAACAATGTGAAACATCTCGACCACTACGCCATCCTTTACTTGGCTCTTCAGGTCTCTCTCTCTCTCTCA